TTCATCTACCAGGTCTTAACTCAGATTGTGTTTAAGACTAAGACTTTATTTCTGCATGTCACACATTACAATAACCCGGGAATTGTGATGGACTGTGAGTCAGATGAGTTAATCAGCATCTTTCTGGATCTTTTCTGCTTCATAGTGAGAGCATCCAGTTTTAAAATGAAGCATTTCACAACTATTTCTTGGCTTGACGCAACCAAAAATAAAAATAGTCCTTCACAGTGTCTATTTTTGATCTGCTGAGCATGTGATGCACTTTGTTGTGAGTGAGTGAAGAAATCCTGTTGCCAACAAACAACTCTGTAGTCTTAATATAGACAAATTTAATTTCCCCACTGCTTTATTGGGACAGTGAGCCACTACAAATGCCCATTATGTGACATGACGTGCCCGTCGCCCTCTTCACTGCGCAACCATATCAAGTTCCGCCACAGCAACGAGAAGCCATACAGCTGTGACTACTGCGAGTACAGGTACCCAAACCCCTGAAACTTCACCAATTTAAGGATTAAGTTATTAAACAGACAATGACATTTGCTCCCACCGTTTTTAAAAAAAAAAAAAACCAAAAAAAAACAACCTCACAGCTGTAAGAATCTGGTCGACTTGCGCAAACATCTGGACACCCACAGCAGCGAGTCAGCCTTCCACTGTGACGTCCCTGGCTGTGGCTTTACATCTCGAGCCGCTTGCACCATGAAGATTCACCACAAAAGAGAGCACGAGGTGATGTTTGAAGTGTTTGTTTAAACTTGCGTTCAAGTAGGGTTTTTTTGATGTTTTCATTGATGATTGTGTTTTATTTCCATAACCAGGGGAGTTTTGTAGCTCGCTACAAGTGCCATGTGTGCGGCCAGTGTTTCACCAGGGGCAACAACCTAACTGTCCATCTGCACAAAAAGCACCAATTTAAGTGGCCGTCCGGACACCCCAGGTTCAGGTGAGTGTTGCAGTGAAGCAGCTGCAGTAATAGCTATTGCAACGCTTGAAGTCTTTATTCGCTCTTGACAGGTACAAGGAGCACGAGGATGGTTTCTTGCGTCTGCAGCTGATTCGCTACGAGAGCGTGGAGCTGACCGAGCAGTTGATGCGAGAAAGACAAAACAGGCAAGCGGAGGAGGACGGCGGCAGCGAGCCGACGGAAGGTCAGGAGCTGCAGGAAGGAGCAGCTCCTGCAGAGGTGCAGGTGGAATTGAAAGGGGTGCTGCTGGAAGAGCAGAGGATCGACGAGCCAGGCTCGACTGTTGGCGCTGAGGAAGGCGGACAGGAAGAGGGCATGCTGTATGTCCTCACTGGAGGACTGTCACAGGCAGGAGAGGAGTCTGTAATGCTGCAGCTCCAGGATGCTGCTCAGCAACAGGAGATGGAGGTGCTTTGACTTGATGCACATCCTGAGCAGGCACAAAGTACACAGTCACACTCTTCTTGGAATTCATGAACTTCTACAAAAACCTGGCTTGGATTTGAACAGAAAGCGAACTGCTTTACTTAAATTCTAACATCTGAATTAAGGAACACGTACTGTTATGATTCATGTTGAATATAAGCCTATATTAGGCAAGTAAACTGTATTTTATGTGTTTATTTGCTAATGTGTAGCATCTTAATTTTAAACTTTTCAGTTAGATGTTCGTGTCTCATGCTGTAAAATCTGTCGAGACAGTTGAAGGCTAATGTTGCACTGCCTGCTGGGTTCTCAATCAATCAAATTCAGAGATACATCAGCTGAAACCTTTAAAGGTTAAGAACATGAGTCACGGGACGTCGTGTTGTCATTAATATTCAACAGAATCTGGATTAAAGCTAAGAGGGCTCACCTTATCATCTCGCAGAGTGTGTACCTTTCCCAGTTAAACTTGAATAAACACGTGAAACCTTTTTGTCTATTTTTTTTAATGTTTTGTAATATTTTTTTTAAGAGTGAACTTTTTTCTTTATGTATTACATACATTCATCATGTGTTTTGGCTCCACCTGCTAAATCTAACTGCACTCCTGCAGCTCTGTTACTGATCTACACGGCTGTATAATTGACGTCTCAATCGTCTAAAATGTCTTGACTGAACTCAACTGAGCTGTAAATCTAAACGTTGTCTCTGTAGTATTGTTAACGTCCACATTCACCACCCACATCATTAGTTACACCTTGTTGGTACCAGTTTGGACCCCCTTCTGCCTGCACAGCTGCCTTAATTATTTGTCGCTTAGATTCCACAAGGTGCTCGAAACATCTCTCTGAGAGTTTGACATGATAGCATCACACAGTCATCGCACATCCGTGATGTGAATCCCCCGTCCTACCACATCTCAAAAGAGTTCTATTGGATTGAGATCTGGTGACTTAAGAGCATGTTCAAGAAACCAGTTTGAGATGACTTAAGCTTTGTGACATGATACGTTACAATGGAAATCCAGGCTCATCAGACCAGGCGTTGCTTTTTCAGTCTTTTGTTATTCAATTTTGGTGAGCCTGTGAAATTTTAGCTTGCTTTTCTTGTTCTTAGGAGACAGGAGTGGCGCTCAGAGTGTGGTCTTCTGCTGCTGCAGCCCATCTGCTTCATGGATGGTCAAGTTGTACATTCAGAGATACTCTTTTGCATACCTTGGTTATAATAAAGTTACATTTTCAGCCAGAGAAATACTGTTCTCTGGATATTTTCTCTTTCAAACCATTTTCTGTAAACTCTAAAAAGGGTTGAACTCATACCAGCCCGTCTGGCACCAACAACCATGCTATGTTCAAAGTCGCTTAAATCATCTTTCTTTCCTTTGTTTGAACTTCAGCAGGTTGTTTTCAAGCAACAAGGCCAACATTAGGTTTGTTTTCTGCTTTTCTCATACAAGAAAGACAAAAAACCCCAGAAAACAATTACAATTTTTCATGCTGACCAAAACAAAGTTCTATATTTCTCTCAATATATTCTATATAATTATATATAGTTCATATATTTTAGTTAATCCACCTAATGTGAATGATGTGCATTGGATAAAGCGTCTGTGTTTAAGGTACAAGTACCTCCGTTATCCATCACTCGTCTCATCAATTTGGAGACGGTCGTTCTTTCATCCCTCTTCTGCTTTAAACCTATAAAAACCTTTGATCAGGTGTCAAAATCGTGACACAGCTTTGCCCAAGTGGAGTCCCAGGATGATAAACAGTGCACAGCATTAGCTGTTTGTAGAAGATTAGGCAGCACACAGAGCTTAGTTGAAGCGTTACTTAAACTCTCTCTCGCTGCTTCCTCTTCCTCCAGTGAGTGAACTCAGTTCTCCTGGGACTGATTCTAATGGCTTCATAGTCTAGTGATGGCGTAGTATAATGCTTCTACTTTGTTCCTGGGTGCACCTAAAACATTTTTTTTAGAAAAACTACTTCATCAGGAGATGGGAACTGTGAGATTTTACATACTGCTGCTCCTGTTGTTGTTTGGATCCATCCACAGAGGGATATCTCAGTTTCCTGAGTGGAATGGAGAGCTGGAAGGTAGTGGTAAGATCTCCTTTTCTGACACTGTAATGCTATTCTTCACTAACTTTCTGGTTACTAAGTCATGGCATACATGAATGTTTGTCCAATCCTTGCGTATTAAGAAGCTAATGATTTAGTATTTTTCTTCTGCAGGTGAGATAGAATCGATTTCCCAGCCGAATTTCATAGATGACACATACTGGTCTGGGTCAGCCCCGCTTTGTTTAGGAGGTTGTAAAGCGCGGCACCGGGAGCTGAGGAGAGATCGCTGTGGAGACTCTAGCTGCTGCTGGCTCGGCTACAAATCCTTGTGCAGAGGTAAGACACAGAATCAGAGCGAAGAAACAAAAGGTCACTTGTTAAAAATACCTTCGTCTTGTGCTTTGTATTTCCTGCATTTCCTTTTCTCTGTGTGTCAGTGAACTGTGGAAGGCCAGATGTGGACTACAATGGAGCAGTGTATGGTAATGACTGGTGGGTGGGATCTGTGGTGAGGTACACCTGCCGCTCAGGATTCAGGCTTATTGGAAACTCTACCAGATCATGTCAGCATAATGGCCTCTGGACTCCAAAACCTATCTGCCTACGTGAGTCCACACAAACCGCAACAAAACAACAACAACAATAGGTTTTCTGACCCAGTATCAACATTTACGCTCTTTGACCTGCCTTTTAGGAATGTGTAAGCAGGGGCAGATTGAAATCAGCGAGCGTGAACTGAGTGGGACATGCAACTCCACCTGCGTGGGTAAGAGCTACTTCGGCCCACCCAAACGAGGCTGCACTCAGATAGACAACTGCAGGAAGAAGGAGACCGGCTGGAAACGGTTCTTTGCACAATGTGTCCCTTGCATTTGTGACTGCGCTTTCTCGTGTGGTGAGTTGCTTCCACCTCCACATTGTCAGGACAAATGCAAATCAGAATGAGCATGCTGCGGTGCTGTCTGTGTACAAATACATTTGAATATTGCTCTACACATGAATTTGCCATCCTTCTTTCAGGAATGATATCTGCTTTGTTTTTTGTTTTGTTTTGTTTTTTTCAAGTGTCTGCAGGCTAAAACACAGAGATGCTTACAGTGTAACAAGGCTGCAGACAAAGAGGAGACACAGACCGGCTGTAGACCAAAGAGTCACGCTGCATTTCTGCTGCTTCATCCAATTTTAAGAACAAATCTGGGTGTTTAAGGACAATAATTTAATCTCTCCGGCACACACTCCAAGCCTGCCTGCCTGCTTTCTGTATGTAAAGGATTACATGGCAAGAACAAATCCTGCTGGCACGCCAGTGTTAAGTCACTCTTTAGGATGCAAAGCGGCGAGAGGGTCAGAAAACAAAAGGGAGGACAAATTTAGTGAAAGGCGCCTGAGAGGTTTAGATTAGATTCAAGTTCAGCAATTATTTGAAATAGAAAGCGACTTTGGCTGATTTTAAACCCCATTTTTGGGCTTTTCAACATCATTTCCTGTCCATATATATATATATATATATATATATATATCATACTATATTTAGCTTGGATGTCTGCAAACACATGCACATGTTTACTTTCCTCAGATAAGGATGGGAATCAGAGAAACAAGGAAAGAGGGAAGTGAAGCCAAAGAGATTGGCATCTTGCGTCTCCTCTCAGCCCATCTGTCGTGGAAGGAGCTGAGACCTTAATCTTGTTATAAGATGTTTGTTCAGGGGTCAGAGTTAACAGAGAGAGTGGTGTAGAACTGTTAACAGCATTTATACTTTAGGTGTCATGCTGTGTGTACTTTTATTTTCAAGTTATTTATTGAGAAATGTATATCACAAGCCAATTGTATGAATGTGAAATGAATTAAAAACTACTCATGTCTTTGAAATCAAAGGTTTAACATTTAAAGCGATGATTTCTGAGCCATGCAGACCTGAAGCAGAGCTTTACAGATGGCACTAATAATATTCTGATTGGATTATATTATCAGTCATCCCCCGTGTCCATCATCCCATCGCTCCTCACAAAACAACTACTGAGCATTAGGCTTCCAGGCAGGCCTGTGACACTTGATATAGTTCCAAATTAAAAAATGGTAAGAAGTAGTGTGGAGAAAGCAAGTCACTAATCAAAGATTTTCAAAAGATATATGACAAAATATTTAATAAGTTTTGACCTCTGCTCCCATTTAATGGCTTATATGTTTTATATATTTTAAAATCACATTAAAAGACTTCATTATTTTTTTTCCTCTGTCTTTTTTTTACTCAACTAAAATCGATTTTATTTTGAAACCGAAAAACAGACTCAAAATGTGGGTTTTTTTTCCTTTCACTGCCTTTAATAAGCGACATTACAGGTTAAACCACTAGATGTCGCTGTTTTGTCACAAAGTGCATCACAAGTGTGAGATTTAGGACTGATCCCTTGTGATCCTGAGGAGTTACTGCTCAGCATGCATCACTGTTGAGGACTCCAGGTGGTGTACCTCAAGACGATGTGCTCATCCGCTTTGGGCATGTAGCAGCCGATCCCTGTACGACGTTTAGATGACAAACACTGATATTTACACACATACAGCCTGACAGAGCATTATAACAGAAACAACAGCAATAGAAATAACAATGGGGCGTAGCATCCTTTCTCTAAAAGACAAAAAAACATGCTTTAATAGATAAATCACTATTAATGTGTAGTATCACCACCTTCTCCTTCTATAAAAGATAAACACGCACAAATGTTGTCAGAGCAGATAATTTTCCAATAGCTGTAGGAGGCAGTAATTGAAAAAGACAACCCAATCTCCTGTCTCATTATGGCTCATTAAGTCGTCCTCAGATATGCTGAAGTGAAGCTCTGGGGATGACACTCACCCACATCCAGTCTGTCGAATTCTCCAGAGCTTTCAGACAGGATCTCCCAGTATGTCTTCTCATCCTTATTTCCAGCCACTCCATTCACACTCTCCAAGAACAGGCCAAAGTTTGGGTCCTCCTTCACTGTGAACCTGGCAACACAAACAGTCAGGGCTTTAAGAGCAGAAATGGGTCACCCTCAGCTTAAATATGTAAGAGAATCAGCCGGGGCTCCTTTTTAGCAATAAAGCATGCTAGACAGTTATATTAAAGGGGATGTCATGGGTGGACTCACTTAAAGTCGTGCTGTGCATCGTGCAGTCTCCTCAGAGCTCCCAGCAGCACACCTCCCTTTACTACACTGCTGGAGTAGGACTTGAGAGGCTCGTTAGACTGCTCGTTCTCCACAGACAGTTTGATAGAGAGGGATCCTGATCGTGCACGCAAAGCAATTCACATGTGATACAATTTATGATGCACTTCTACAAAAGATCAAAGCTTCTGTAAAATTTACCTTCATCTGTGTCTGTAAGAGCGCCACGTGTCAGCAGGAGGAAAAAGCCCACAGAGAGCAGAGCTGATGTCCTTAGTGCCATGTCGAGCGATCTTCTATCTCAGATGTGTGTCTAACACCACATCACCTCACTACTTATAGCATGCCTAACCCACATTTGTAAGCAAACTCCAGTCCCAGAAAGTCACGAGGCACTCTCACATACCTTTGTTGAGGTTAAACATTCACATTCACATCCTGAAACTTAAAACTAACACAGAAGTGCTTTTATGTGACAATCAATGATGGTTAATGTGTGCTTTATAAATACAGAAACACTGTTATCTCGGAGGTTACACTAGATGATTCATGATCTGTCCTGTGGCTGTGGGTTTTTCTTTCAGATGGGTGGGAGAATACCTCCTTCCCTAAAGACAAATATTATGTTACGCAAACAAATTTTTCTTTCTTTTTTCTTTTTTTAAAATCTTGACAGTAGAATAATAAATGTAAGTGAACTAAATGTGACCCAAGTCTTATCAGACGAACCTGGTTATGGGGACACAAAACATCAATATAGAACTAAAAACGGCAGGTTCACCTTTATTTTGTGAACTGACTTATCCCCCATCACACCAAGAATGATCTACAGAGAATTCAATTAAAAGAACCAAAGTTTAAACCTGCTGATTTAGGTCTAAACCTTACCGTCTGAAAAAAACAATATGGTCCTTCTTCTTAGCAAAATGAGTCTGGCTGAGAAAGAGAGTAATAGGCTGGTTTGCTGAAATTGCTCGTCTGGCCACCAGAGAGTGAGAGCTCGTTTTAAGTTAGTCTGATTAAGAGGCAGGTGCGATTGGCTAAAAATGGTTTTGATTTCCTCTCAGGGGTGATGTAAGGCATGTAGGGCCCGCTTGAACGCGAGTAACCCCGTCTGTTTTACCGAAAATAACCCGGGCACTGCAGCATCAGCACCAGGCAGCTGCGCAGGTGCGGCCTTTAAAGAGACAGAGGGGCTTCATGTTTACAGCGATGGAGCCAGACTTTATCATATGTATCAGCATTGGATGTATACACTTAGCACATCTATGCATATACAGGCTGTATATTGTACGTTACCCCAGCAAGAGACAGCCCCAAATAACCACAGAACAGAAATCAGCACAAAAACATGTTTAAATTGCGGTGACAGAGGCCAATTTAATCAAGAAGGCTCTAGCAGTCACAGCGATATGAATATATTCAATTAACTGTTTATGAGTTCCCAGTTTAAGTTCAGTGTCCCAGCTTTAAATCCCCCCAGTATTCTTAAAATGTTTCGGAAATGTGCTTATTATCGATCAGCCATGCTGTCGATTATTGTTCACAGGTTTTATTTCCAATTCATTAAAAAACACCAGGTCGGGATGACGATTTGATCTGTCAAAAAAAACAAAACACTGTTTCCTCCACTAGCATCTTGCCAGCAACGCCCTGCATCCCAGACCGGCGTGCGCACCACACAGACGCACTAACCGGCGAGAGGATAACGGCGGCTGCTCTGTCGGGCTGCAGCTGATGCTGCTGAAGCATCTGCAGCGCTGTTTGCTTGGTTTAGTGTGTGTGTCTGTGTGTGTGATTCCAGATGTCACCGACTGAGGATTGGCGTCCACACCGCTGCGGGGGATGTGTGTGAGTACAGGCCGTTTGGATGCGAGTTCGGGACGGACGGATTTCATGAAAGGAACAATCTCAGCGAGGGAAAACATGACAGTCTTCCCGCTCCCCTGACGATTCTCCGGGATGCAGTCATAGTCTGAGGCCGGACATGATCTTAATCTCAGGGATTGCTGTAGTTGATGCGGGATGATGTGCGCCGCACCCCGAGTGATATTGATAAGGGGAACACAGCTCGGTCCTTCACTGCCCCGCTGATTTTTGCTTGACTGTGGCTCGTAGTGATCATCTTCATTTATTTATTATTAATATTTAATTATTTAATTTATTTTTTGCTGGGCTGGGACTATTTGGGAGACCTTCTGATGTGGAAGGACTGGGCTATTTTGCCTGAAGGGATCAACTGAGCACTGTTGCTCTCACCCGGAGGGAAACCAGGGCTGAGCTGCTCACCTGGTCATTTCAACACAAGTATGTGAAATGTTTTGCGTGTATGCGCGTGCATGTGCAATGAAACACACTGCATATTTAGAAATGACCGGTGAAGCCACTTTTACTGCAAGGATGTCCTCAGATCATACTAATGTATGACTCATCTACTTAAAAAAGTCACTTCTGCTAAATACTGTATCTGGCTTTCACCCTTTTACTGTTAACAGGTGCTTTTTGGAGAGATGTGAGCATCCCTCACCACCAATGGCAAGTCTCTGCAGGGCGCAGAATCAGTGCATATTGCACTGCTATACATTATAGTGATAACCATATTTCATCCCCCTGTATAGGAGACTTCTTCTATGGCTGTCTGAGCTCATGTGTCCTGTCTTTAGGGCCGCACATGGTGAAACACTGAGGCCTTACTCTGACTGAGAGGCCATTAAAGTCTGTCAGGGTTTTACAACGCTTATATGCAGGCTTGTAATGGAAAGTCACTAATGGGAGGATGATCAATAGAAGCCTTGGTCAATCTTCATCACTGGCCCTCCTTTATCTGAGGATATTTTATTACACATACAGTAGGTCATCAGTGGCAGACACTGACTCAGAGTACTACTGCAAGCACTGCAAGGCTTGCATGACAGCAGCAGACGTTTGTAGCCTTTACAGTAATCGCTTAAACAGTTTGGATTTGCAAATACGCATCCCACAAATGTTTTCTGATATACTTTTACATCCATCCCAAATTTCAGTAGTATATGTGATCTGATTGGTGTCGTGTAATAATCGTCAGTGGTACCTGCAATGATCACACTTGGACATGGCTAAGTGGATGATCTGGCGTGGTTTGTGTATGTGTATATTGCATGCATTGCAATATCCTGTTTATTTGTATCTGTCCACAATGGCTAAAACTGTCCTAAAGACATAATCATATTATTATTATTATTACTGTTATTATATTATTATTATGGTCATTTCAGACTTGCATAACTAGGTTTTTCTTTGTCAAAATTATTTGGATGTAATTTTGTAATTTTATGCATTAGTTTTGTTCTCTTAAAATTAGACACATACAAGACTTTTATATTATAAGAAAGATGATTATAAATAGTATGTAAATAGTATGAGCTTGTTAAATATACATACCGACCCACTAAGTCAGAGCAATCTGTGAACATACAGACAGTAGTCTCCACATTACTATGAAGGACATGCCAGTAAGCAAGTTCAACAATTTTGGACAATATCACACAAAATTTGATATAAGCCTGCTGCTTAAACACAGACATTATTGATCAAATGCATCTATACCATTTTTTCATCAATGCACCAGTATGTTTGGTGTAACATGAATCAAGTAAATTTCATTTGCCCAGATTCCAATTTAAGTTTTTGTACTTATGTAATAACATTACATGTGATCAAGTTACTTAGAGTCAGGACTTTGGGCATACATCATTCACTCACACAATAGTACTTTAATATGTTTATGTTGATGTGTAACATCCACGTAGTTCATTTAAAGGTTCTTAATAAAAAAAACTCGTACTGGTCAAAACCAGGCCACTCAATTAATTCCTTAAGCTGTCTGAATTAGGCCCGTTATCCCCCGAGTTAATTAAACTTAGTTCTAATAGTAATTTATGTGTGTCAAAACCTATTGACTTTCATTAATGATTAATGAAATAACTGTGTTATAATTTTGTTTACACTTCCAACAGGCTGCTTTGACTCGGGGTGAATTTGTGTGAATCAGCAGAACTGCAAGTGTGCTGCAGGACTGAAACCAGATCCCAGCTCCTCACGCTCTGAATCTCATTCCCT